GTGTAAGAAAGAAGAATACAAAATTAAACATACACATACATATTCTCACAATGGAAGAAGGATAAACCAAAAATATGTTTTTTAGTTTCTTGTGAAGGAAGAGCAACAGGGTAAAGATGACAAGAGAATGGATGCTACATTTTTCCGAATGTACTTTTTACAATTTTGACTTTAAAACATGAATATTTAACATACTTTTTGGACTTAAATAGAAAAAAAAGGTAATCCCTAAAAACTGAAAACAAACAGAAACAAATAATCCTAACTGTATGCCATGTTGATAACACAACTACACAAAGAAAGATATTTCAAGTAACTCTAAAACAGAATTTTGATTCTCCATTACTGACAACCACTAAGTGAGAAGTTTTCCTTTATGCTTTCAATGCAGATCACAGCGAGCTTGTCAAGTATAGGACATGCCATGTTTATCCTTGAACTTCAAGTGAATAACACATAGTAAGCCTGAAAAACTGTTTAATAAATAAATGTGAATAAATGACAGAAGCTTAAATACAAAGATAAAGCTATCAATGCTCCCTCCTCTAATCCTGGAAAGAAAGAAAGAAGAAAGAAAAGAGAAAAGAAAAGAAAAGAAAAGAAAAGAAAAGAGAAAAGAAAAGAATAGAAAATGGTGTTGGGGCACTTGAGTGGCTCAGGTGGTTGAGTGTCTGACTTTAGCTCAGATTGTGATTTCGCGGTTCTTGAAACTGATCCTCACATCGGGCTTGCTGCTGTCAGTGCAGAGTCCACTTTGGATCTTCTGTCCACTCTCTCTCTGCCCCTACCCTGCTTGCTGTCTCTCAAAAATAAATAAACATTTAAAAAAAATTTTTAAATGATGTCATTATAATTTTTACATACTTTTCCAATAAGAGATGGACTTTCCATGATCTTTCAGTCTGTCCTTGCAAAACACCTTAAGTTGGAATTTTGGCCACTGTTTGATTTTAACAGTGTTTCTCAGCCTTTTTTCATTATCATCCCCCTAAGGAAACTTTATAGATTTTTTTTTTTTCCTAATTGCTCCCCTCCTCTGATATTTTAGAACCACAGCCATTCGGACATCCCTTTATATCCTATATGCTATGCTTGTATTTCATATATATAAATAATAAGCTTTTTGCCCCTGCCCCAGGCAAAAACATCAATTTTTAACACTTTTGAGAATGCACAGATTAGACAAACAGCTAGTCTCTCTTGACCTCATTATACCACTGAATCTAAGCAATGTAGGCTAAGCATCCACTTACATACAACAAATAAACTGCGGTGAACAGGGTAGGTAGGTACTCAACCTCCACTGCAAATACTTCTGTGTCTTTAGTACTTCAGAAATTTTAAAAAGCCAAAATCCCCAGATGGAACTCAGCTCTTGCCAATTAGATGTACTTCAGACCTAGGTGCTTTGACGAGCTAACCTGAAGCAAAGCCATCTTTCTGTTGCTTCGGCTAGTTCCAGCCGGCGAACTGGTCAGCTGTAGGACTACCCAGTTTCCTTTTTCTTCCTTTCCCCTCCCATTCCAATGTCTAGTCAACAGTTTCCTGGGAGTCAAGAGACACACAGGAGACACCCCTTGTTTTGTCGCCATGGCCTACCGGTGTGGAGCTAGCAGGTGCAGTAGAGCTCTGCCGCTGTGTTGTTGCTCAAAGAAGAGTAGAAATACGTAGGTGCTACTGGCCTTCGTTGTCCGGAGGTCAGAAATGCAAAACATCCTGCAAGAGGCGGAACAGCCGTGCACAACGAAGCAGAATCCAGCCCAAACTGCCAACAGTGCTCTCACTGGAGACACCGCTCAACAGTGGCAGTCACACTGCTTCCTCACCTCTGGGTCACACCTCAAGAGACCTCTTCCTGAAGTCTCAGCTCCAATGGCAGTCACCTTCCTGACTGTGGCACAGGAAATGGCTCCTCACGGCTCCAGTTCTGCAAATGCTGTTCTGGATGTCATTCTTGAAGGCTTTTCTAGATTTTGTTCCTTCAGCTCTTGCAACGACTTTTTTTAGCAACTAATTCCCTATATTAAATCCATTTCTGCTTTAAATAACTAGTTTTTATTTCTGCAACTGACCCCTAATATCTAAAGCAAATTAAGAAGAAATAACATTTGAAGGAACATTTCAGTACCCTGCAATCTGAGGTTTGATTTAAGAAGGGGGAGGACATCAAAGTTAAACTAGTATTTCCTCAGTGTGGTCTCAAGCAAGGTGAAAATAAACATCTAGCCTTGTGTTTCTCAACCATTTCTTCACTGTCACCCCTCAAAAGACATTCTTAAGACTTTTTTTCCTGATTCCACTGTCATGAAAGTTTAATACCGCAGATTACGCTTTTTCTGTTTATGTCCACTATGTTTATCTTTGCCTCATACAAAAAGAGTAAGATACCGTGCCCCAAAACCAACTTTTATCCCCTCAGAAGTGATATCTCCCCCACTGAGAATGTGTGGTCTAGTATTTGTTTAGTCTCTTCAGTATACAACAAGAAAACACTATATGGATGCTTATGGAGTGAGGAACTTTCTCTAGCTTTGCCAGAAAGGTTTCCCAGACTGACCCACACATTATGCTAGTACCTCCAATGATTCCAAATCAATGTTCTCCTCTGTACTTAATTATAAATCTACTCTACTTTATATAAACCCAGTAGTTTCTAAATATTTATTTCTAAAAATAAACATATATGAATTAATATAGGAATATAATGTGTATAATACAAAATACATAAGCTAAAGATTAGGTTCTCTTTTTAAAAACATAAATCTTTAACATTTAATGAGCTCTGATATATCAAATCATTCTAGATTCAATTGTAAAAAGATCTGCACCTTTTTGAGGCACTATTGTACAAGCATGTGCATCTTGCTTATGTTCTGTATTGCATGGACTAATGTCTATATTCATCGTGTGCCCCCTAGATAGGGTATAAAAGTAAAAAGTGTTTATTTGTCTAATTTCCTCTATAAAAATTCCCCAGGCTTTTCACATAATTTTCTCTGAAAATGTTCTTCACAAAGAAAAAACCCTGACCTTTGGCCAAGAAAAACAACAACAAAACCTGTGATACAAGTTTGGGCCATCCCACTCCCCCCCCCCCCAACTATTTGTAGACAAACTTTTTACACTACTAGTATCTATTATCTCCTAGTTTTCCTCAACATCGGTGCTGGAGTGTGCAAAATTTAAAAGCAGTCTCTGGGAATCTACGAAATACTGAATTCTGTGAAGTTAAGAACCTCACTTTACCTCTTGCTAGCCTAATTTTAAATTTAGTAAAATAAGGAGTGAATTTTAAATTTAGTAAAATAAGGAGTGAATGAAGGAGGAGAGCTTGGTGGTCCCTGCTGACTCTATGGATCAGCTCAAGAGGCCTACTTGGCAGACAACTGACTACTGGGTCTTCCCCCCAGTCAGCTGCTGCCTGTCTTCACTCCTTCCCCCATTCAGCACAGATGTCAAGGTCCATCACTTCAGCCCTCTGTCCAGCCATAATTTCTTACGTTTGTTCCACTGCCCTTCCGTAACACCCACAAAGCCAGACCCAACCCTGGGTTGACACAACTGACCACCTTGTCTAAAACTAGATTGGGGCTGTGGCTAGCGGGATCAAACCGAACCAAACCCACAGCTCAGCAAAATACTGCAAGCGGCAGAACCACCTCACCAAGCACAGAGCACTGTCATCAGTTGTCTCCTCCGTATTCATGCCACCCTTTAGATTACAAGAGCTGAACACTGACTATCCTTTATCCTATTCGCCAGTGAATCTCCGACACTAGGTGCTTAGAACAGATTCCAGTTCACCTTTAACGAATGCATTAATGATTACTAAAAAGATACCAGAATCTCTGGAGCTGATCCTCTCCAAAGGCTGCTTCTTCAAAGGCAAGTAGAACCGGTAGAAGAAAACGTGTAGCAGGTATCTGTGTGCAAGCATCTGAGCAAAATCTTAGTGCTCTGAAAATCTGCATACATTCCACATGTCGACACCTGTAGGAACTGTACCCTGCAGTGGAAATCTGCGCGGGTTAAGAAATAGTTTGACCTCTGCCCCGCTCCCCGCCGCCCCCAGCCTAATTCCAGTCTCACAAAGAAGCTTTCCCAATTACCATTGTCTCTTTTCCACCAGTTTGCTCCTCAGTAGCAGTAGCAGACTGCGCAGAACTTAAAAGCAGTGTCTAGAAAGGCAGGCGGTGGGGGACACGGCGGAGGAATCCCTCAATTAAAAACAGATCACAAATGCTATTTTCTGCCAAATACCTGGTATCAGCAGACAGAAGCCGAAGTGTTCGGCTTTATCACTACAATATCCTCCCTTCGGCACAGCAAGGATACTGGTGGAGACAGTCCCCACTCCGAAAGAAGCAAGTCCGTCATTAACACCACGACACCCAGCCTCCCCAATCCCGGTCCACACCTGCGAGGCCTCCCTCCTTCCCGGGAGCCTGACACGACCGCACCACGGTCCGCCACGCGAGGCCTCGGACCCGGGGCTCCCGCACCCACGCCCCGTCCGCTTCGCAGCCCACCTCACAGTCCAGGAGCTCGGTGCCCGGTTCCTGCCGCCCCGCGATCCGACAGAACACGCACTTGCTACTGTAGTCCTCGGGCTTCGACGGTCTTGAGACAACTTCGGCGGTCTTCGATGAAGACACCTTAGGTTCCGCAGTCGCCGCTGCCTCAGAGCAAGGCTCGGACCCCACGCTGTCGCACCTCTGATCCTCCGCCATCGCACCCGCTCCGGGTGGCCAAGAGCTATGACGGCTCGGGCACCACTGGCCCTGCGCAGAGTCCGCCTCCTGCACCTCCTCAGTTTTACCTGGAGGCGTCGCCCTTCGCCTGGCGCAGAGAAAGGCAGGGAGTTGGGCGCACGCGCTGATCCAGGATGACGATAGACAAAGGGCGACGCAGAGATGGTCCTCAAAGCCAGGAAACACGAGGGGGCGTGCGAGTACGCACATGGGTGCTAGCGGGAAGAGCCGTTGGTGGCTACGGGAGTCGCCCCGCCCCCTGCGTCTCATTGGTAAAGACGCAACACGTCCTTCGAGACGCAGGAGCGCGCACCGTCGCGATGACGTCACCTGCGCGCCCTCACGTCTGGCCAAAAGGAACTTGGTGGGTACGTTGGACTTTCTTTTCCGAAGGTGGAAGTTCGCTTTATTTTGAAGAAAAAAAGAAAAAAAAAAGAGAGAGAGAAAGAAAAAAGTGTTAAAAATTTCGTACGTTTTAAACGAATGAGCACAATTTCTAGAGCTTGCTTTTCAACATAGATTATGTTTGATCTTTTCTTTCGTGTGTGCATTTTCAGCCACGATGGTTTGCTAAAGCTCAGAATATCCAAAACTGAACTTCATATCTCTGTCTACTTTTTTGTTGTTTACAGCACCAGCTAGATCAAAATAGCGGCTTTTATTTCACATTCCTCAATACACAGGTAAATGTGGAGTCTTGTAGTTTATAGTCTGTAATAGTCCAGAAATTCATTGCTCCTGCTTCATGCTTTCATGCTACAGTAACCCTCTAATTAGTTTCCCTCCTCCATTCTCCTGTTACTCAGTAATTATCGCGCCCCCCCCCAAAAAAGCCCCACTTTGTTAATTTGATACTCAGGATGGACTCTGATTTGACCTAAGCTTTTCATTTTGTAATACTTGGCATTTACTGAACGTCTAAAATGTGCCATATATTTCTCTAATTGTTAAAATAAACAAGGTTGGTTTAGACCACTAAGATAAAAGTTGGTCTAACTCAGGAATCCACCAGAATTTATTTTTAATTTTTTAATGTTTATTTATTTTTGAGAGAGAAAGAGAGTGAGCTGGGAAGGGGCGGAGAGAGAGAGGGAGATACAGAATCTGAAGCAGTCTCCTGACTCTGAGCTGTCAGCACAGAGCCTGACGTGGGGCTTGAATTCACGATCGGAGAGACCATGACATGATCTGAAGCTGGATGCTGAACCAACTGAGCCACCCAGGTGCCCCCACCAACCTTTTGAACACAGAACTCCTTTATTCACACTGAAAAATTTCTTAGACTAGCTTGTTATAGTAACCTTGTTATTTGTTGGCTTAGAAAATACGTAATAACAAAGCCCTATGGTGAATGCAGTCGTTTTTGAATGATTTCTGTTGTATTATTTGAAGACATTTAGGGGTACCTGGGTGGCTCAGTCAGTTAAGCCTCTGAATCTTGATTTCAGCTCACGTCAGAAAATCACGGTTGGTGGGTTCAAGACCCCCATGGGGCTCTACAGAGCCTGCTTGGGATTCTCTCTCCCCCTCTCTCTCTCTCTGCTTTTCTCCTGCTCACTCTCTCTCTCTCTCAAAAATAAGTAAACTTAAAAAAAATTATATATTTTTAAGTAGTTGTACACATGTGTTCAAGATATTTTTCATTCCTTTTGCAGTTTTCCAATGGTTTGGGGGACCACTATAATAGCTTCCTAGCCTCTCTCGGGAGTCCAAGGCAAAGTTCAGAATCGATGCACTACTTTGCCTTAAGTATCCACTATTTTCATGCACTGTAATATACACTTTGATATACACTTTCACATCACTTTGTTTTTATCCACACTTTTCCCTCTGAGATAGTCTTTGTTTCCATCTCTGCACATCCCCTTTCCAATCCCTTCCTCAAATGCTACTGTGGTAGCTACTGTGGTCCCCTCTCTAAGGGAAGGAAAAAAAAAAAAAAAACCCTCAAGGCAACCTGGCTGTATATATGCCTACGTGACAGCATGCCTCACAACTTTGTAACATGAGACCACTTAATCAGGCTGCATGTTTGTGTGTTACCATATACGGGAAACCAAGAAGTAAAAAATATATAAAAAGCTATGCCACATGGCATTCGGGGCTCAGTTCTTTGGGTACAAACCCAACTGAGTGGTGCTGGCAGGAATAAAGTTGCTTCCTGGAAAGAAAAGCCTTAGTGTCACGACTGCCTGTGCGAGAATCCTGCTACACTACCTCCTTCATGACATTTTTTTTTTTTAATTAACCAAACTGAAAATAAGTACTTCCTCTTGTGAATTCACATAGCAGTTTTTCAATACTTCTCTTGTAGAACTGAACACTTTTTATTGTATACTATTTATGTAGATATCTTTTTTCTTACTAGAAATTATGTTCCTTGATAAAGTGTCTGAATCTACTGTAGTGCCTCCTATAGCCCTTTGCTTGTAGGTAGACACTTAACAATTGTCTGATGAATAAAAGTGTCTAGGAATAAGGTTGCTGCATGGAAGTGTTCAGATTGCACACTGTACAAGCGTACCATAAATGCAAATGTGTTAATTTGCATCATAGATAAATATCCCCTAAAATCACAGGCAGGCCTAAGAGTTCCAGAGCAGTGGAGAGCTGGCTCCTACAAAAACCCACATTGGGGGGGCGCCTGGGTGGCTCAGTCGGTTGAGCATCTGGCTTCGGCTCAGGTCATGATCTCACAGTTCGTGGGTTCGAGCCCCGCATAGGCCTCTGTGCTGACAGCTTAGACTGGAGCCTGCTTCAAATTCTGTGTCTCCCTCTCCATCTGCTCCTTCCCCAACTCGTACTCTGTCTCTCTCTCTCTCCTTCAAAAATAAATAAAAACAGTGGGGCGCCTGGGTGGCGCAGTCGGTTAAGCGTCTGACTTCAGCCAGGTTACGATCTCGCGGTCCGTGAGTTCGAGCCCCGCGTCGGGCTCTGGGCTGATGGCTCAGAGCCTGGAGCCTGTTTCCGATTCTGTGTCTCCCTCTCTCTCTGCCCCTCCCCCGTTCATGCTCTGTCTCTCTCTGTCCCAAAAATAAATAAACGTTGAAAAAAAATTTAAAATAAATAAACAAATAAATAAAAACATTAAAAAAAAAATTTTTTTTAAACCCACATTGGGCGCATATGACCACACACACACTCAGGAAACCATTCACCTGCACACTGGCACATACCTGCACAAGGTGCACCTGTCCTGTCTTAGTGACACCTGTGATTGGTCCCTCCCCTACCTGGCAATTTTGAAGACTCCCTTCCCATTCTCCAACTTTGAGCTTGATAGAGGTGTCTGCCATGGAAGTGGGAGAAGCAACACAAACTATTTAAAACTTGTCTGGAGTCTTGGTGTGGGATCACGCAAAAGCATAGGCAGTTGTGTGCACACAGAGCTGCTACCAGTTGGTGCTCTGGTTAGCCCCCCTGGGAATCAGCCATTTGGGTTTTGTGACAATAACTACATTTTACTTGTGGAAATGGAGTGTTTTCTGATTTCACAAGGGCACCATATGGGCTAGTAGCAGCCTTGCTTCAATCATGCTCTGGAGTCAGAAAATTCTACAACTTACCATCTGTGAAGATGTAGGCTAAGTTATTTATCTTTCTGTGTCAAGGCTTTCTTCATCTATAAAATGAGGATAATAATAATGTTTAATGCAAACATTATTTTGAGAACTAAAGCCTGGAAGCCTGGCACAAAACTCTCAATAAATGTTAAAAGTCATTACCAATAAATAGGTAGTGATGGTAAGGGATCATATGGTTTACTTGCATTTAAATATAGAAGGTTCAGTGCTCCTATTTAACATAGAAACTGAATTAGACTTGTGTAACATCGTTTCCTCTCCCCCATTTTCCCCTCCCCTCCTTTCTCTCCCCCTGACATACAAAAAGCTGTACATATTTACTAAGGTTCTTCTTTTTGGCTACGCTCACCCCCTTGGTAATCTCGCGTCTGTGGTTGTGAACACATGTATGCCAGTGACTCCCAAATTTAAATCTCTAGTACAGACCTCTTCCCTCAACTCCAGACTTGGGTAGCCAACTGCCTATTCAACTACCTTATGCACATGTATAACATATATTATAAACATGTCTGAAACTAGGCTATGGGGAAAGCTCCTTCCTTCCCAAATCTGCTACCATCTTACTTGAGGGAAAACTCCATTCTGCCATCTACTGAGGACAAAAATTTTGACATCATATCTGATGCTTCCCTTTAACTCCATATCCAATCCATCAGGAAATTTAAAGTACATCCAGAATCTGATGTCATCACTACTGTCAACCTTGGCTGAGCTACCATCACCTCTTATGTAAATTATTCAATAACCTATATGGTCTCCCTACTTTGAACCTTCTTCCTGCCCCCTTTACTGTGTAGTCTTAACACAACAGCCAGAGTGACTCTTTTAAAATGTGAAACAGATCGTGTCACTCCTCTGTTCCACATCCTTCAATGGTTCTATATCCCACTGAGAGTAAAAGCCAAAGTACTTACTTATGAGGATCCATAAGTCTCAACATAATAAGCCACCTGCCCACCTCCTCACATTCTGACATCAGCTACCACCACCATTTCCATTGCTTACTCTACTCCAGCCACACTGGACTCCTTGTTGTTACTTATGCCAGCCAGGCATGCACCCACATCTAGACACAATGGTTGTCCCTCTGCCCAGAACACACTCCTTTCTACTACTGGCAGTGCAGATTTCTCCTCTCACCTCTTTCAAGTCTTTGCTCAAATGTTTCTTCCCTAATGAAGTCAATTCTGACCACCTTGGCAACCTACCCCTCATTCTCACCCCCTAATTCTCCCTTTCCCTTTTTCTGTCATTTCCATCCTGCCCATTACCTTCTAGATATTTATATTTAAATATTTAAATATTTAATATTATTATATATTATTATTGTCTGTTTCATCCTCTTTGAATGTAATCTCAAAAATTCTCAGGAATTTTTATCATTTTTGTCTGTTTTTAGTGCATTGAAGTATCCTCAGGATCTGCATGTGGAGTATAGATACCAAGTGTAATTAAGGACAACTCCCAGGTTCTTAGTCCAAGAACTGGAAGGTCGAAGCTGATATTTAATGAAATGGAGAACTCTGCAAGAGCAGGTTTGGGAGCAAGGAAGCCTTGGAATTCAGTTCTGGGTATATGAATTTGAGTTGCTATATCAGGCTCTTTAGAGTAAGTTTGTTGCAGTAAACAACTCCAAAAATCTTAGTGCCTTAAAACAAAAAAGTTTATTTCTTGCTCACCTGTGTGTCTGCTGCATGTTGACTCTGGCTGTGTTGACTTCATCCCATGACCCAGGCTGAAGGAGCAGAGATGGTTCCGATTTTAGAACAGAGGGAAGAAAGAGCACAGTGGAGCCACATCATGGCCCTTAAGGCTTCTTCTCAGGCTGGCACAAGTCACTTCTACTCATATGTCATTGATCAAAGTAAGTCACCTGGCCAACTCTGACATCAAGATTAAGTATAATTCTAGGACTGTAAAAAGCAGAAGGCAAAAAATATTTCAAATAATAATACAGTACACTGCAGATGCCTATTTGACATTTAAGTGGCAATGTCACTAGGTAGTTGGATGTATGAATCTGAAGGTCAGGAGAGAAATCCAGGCTGCATATATGAATTTTAGAATCTTTAGCATGTAATATTTACATTCCTGAAGTTAGAAGAGATCACCAAAGGAGTAAGTATAAGTAAAGTTCAGAGGACTGAGCCAGGGGTACTCTGGCAATTTAGAAATCAGAAAAGTGAGAAATAATGAACCATGACTGAGAAAGAGTGGCCCTGGAGTAAGTGGTGTGCTGGAGGTAAAGCAAAGATGATCTCGGATAAGAGGGGGTGATGAGCTCTGTCAAAGCCTGCTGATAGGATACAAAGAGGACTGGCAGTTGAGTGGAAGTTGTTGTAAAGCTGAGAAAAGCAGTTTTACTGCTGGGGTTGGGGAAGAAGCCTCATTCTAGTGGGTTTAAGAGAGAATGGTAGTAAATGAAGTAAAGGGAGCAAATGTGAACAGACCAAACAAATTATTCACAGGAAGAAAAAAGAAGGTACTGAAAGAATGCCAAAGACATAGCTACACTGGTAAAGAGCAGAGAAGCAGAGATGCTGGAGTTCTGAGGACAGGAGCAGAGTGGCTGTTGCCAACTCAAATACACATCATTTAAGTGCATCTACTCAGGTGTCTCCATTCCTCACCATCTGAGGAAGCTACATCAACCCACCACCCTTTCCCGATCAATTAACTCCACCTTTATTACATTTAAAAGTTTCTTTCCTTGTACATCTTCTCTAAACCCCAGGTCTTGGAGTGCTCCAGATTTTACTCCTTGCTCTTCTTCTCTATCTGCATTCACTTCCTTGATCTTATCCAGTCTCAAAGCTTGAAACATCTATATGCCATGACTCCCACATTTCTAACTTTATTCATCCTTTTCTTCACATCACAATCCAACTGCATACTTGGTATTTCCATTTGGGTGTCCAATAGATTGAACTGCTGCTGATAACCCTACTATAAACCTCTTATTCACAGACCTCTGACCTCGGCTGATGGCATTCTGATCCTTCCACTTCTAGATTCTGTGACTCCTCTGCTCAAAACCTCCAATCCCATAGGCAGAATGATTAAGAAACTTGCCCAGTGTCATCCCATTAATCAATGACAGAGGTGAGACCCCAACTCAAGCAGCTTGATGGGAACCTGTGCTCTGCACCACAGTACTTTGACACATGCATATGCTCAGTAGGTTACACGATGTTACGTCTAGTATGAGTCCCTGTTATATAGACATATGGATTTGTAAGAAAATGCGAAAAGGATATATACCAATATATCTGCACTGTGATCTCTGGATGGATAAGTTATGGTTTGATGTTTTTCCTTGATTTTGTTTATGTGTATTTTTTACATCTTCAACAATGAAAATATATTACATTTACCACAAGGAAAATATCCTTACAGATTTTTTTAAAATTCAGGATTCCAGATGAACTTCATTCCCTTTAATCATTCTGTTTAATAAATAAACATCTCATTCCATAAATTTTTGAGTTGCTCAACCCCGTTATCAGAAAGTACAGGACATTTTCAGGCAAATTTTCGTATTTTTGGCAGAGATGGACTATAGAACTGGTACAACTATATGTCGGATACAGTATAGTGTGTCTCTTCCCTTTTCACTGAGATAGGGAAAGTGTGTGGGTGGATTTATCTTAATCTCACACTGTGTCTCCACAGTAGACACCCTTCTCCACATCCTAAATAGAAATTTCCTAAACATAAATACAAAGACCTTCCCTGGCTTCTATTTTGTAAATGGAGATACCTTTTTGCTATTTCACCAGTGTCTCAAGAATATTTGATTTTTATTTTCTTTTAATTTTTAAAAAATATTTATTTTTGAAAGCTAGAGAGAGCATGAGTGTGAGTGACTGAGGGGCAGAGAGAGAGGGACACAGAGAATCCAAAGCAGGCTCCATGCTGTCAGTGCAAAGCCTGATGCGGGGCTTGAACCCAGGACCCACAAGATCATGACTGAGCCAAAATCAGACACTCAACTGACTGAGCCACCCAGGTGCCCTAAGAAAATTTGATTTTTCTGAAGGTAAGAGGAAAACAAGCATGAACACATTTCTCCTTCCCTAAGAAAAGCAGTATAAAAGGAAATATTTCAGGCTAAAATGGCTATTGCCTGGTACTAAATATTAGATGTGAACTGGCCTCCATCTGTTGGAATGAGTGACATGTCAGGCAAAGGAAGGGGAGGGAGGAGTGCTTATCTGTGGGAAAGGAGAGGAATTTCCAGTTTCTGGTTACTGGGCTGCCTTACTTAAAACTCTCTTTGAATAAATATTGGCAAGTGGCCCAGAGTCCCAACTTGTGGCTGTTTGAGCTTTGCTAAAGTGCTTGAAGGAAAGTCCTGAATTGTTGTTCTTAAATGGAAACTGTGTAAGTCATTTGTAGTGGAAAGGATGACAAAAGAAAAAAAAAATCCCTTCTTACAACAACTTTGATTTTAGCCATTCCCCTGATGAATTATTTTGTTTATTTGTGTAGAGGTGTAATGCAAACATTTCTGCTTTTTTTTCCCCCATAGTGCTTTCCTGAAAGCCACGTCTTCAAACAAATTGTTGGAAGTAATTCTTACTTTATCAGGAACAAGGTTACACTTGGACTTTGTATTTTTGATAAAGAATTCAGCATAAACAAAGTTTGATATAACCAACACCCTAATCAGTAGTACTAACTTACCTTTGTCTAGCATTTTATAATTTTCTAAAGCACTTTCTTGTATGTACATTAATTTGATTCTCTGACAATGCAGAGAGGTAGATATTATTGTCCCTAGTTTAGAAGTGGATAAAATGGGACCCAGGAAGATGAACCAACCTACTCAGGATCAATTTAATTGGTGGTTGATAGAGGGAGTTATCCTCCACCCCTTCAGTAGGACAGAGGTACTTTCTGTTGCCCCCAATGGACAGAAGACAGCTACTATGTAAATTAGCACACCCCACCATCTTGAAGTTAGTGTCAATTTTTAGTCAGATCCACACTTGCATTTCTTTATAACTTCAAGGCCAAATAACTCATCTACACCATTCATTCCTGTTCTTATTACTTACCCTCAAACTCTTTACTCGTACATAAATTGCCTATGCTTCTTTCCCCCAGCTTCTTTCCACCGCTGACCTCTTTGAAACTCTTTCCACTGCAGAAGCCACAGTTTCATCGTAAGCACTCTCTACAGCCTCAACATCCTCACAGAGCCATACCTTCACTTTCTTGCCTCAAGTGAAACCTGGCTTTTCCCCCAAAGACATCACTTCCCTTGAGCCCTGACAAACAAAATCTGCTTTTTCCCCTGCCTTTCAACATGCTGAGAGGTATGTGGATGCAGTGTTGATATTCTCCTAGCTTCTAGCTGCCAGTTCCAGGTGATTCCATTCTTACCTGTATGAAACTCCCCACTTTATGCCCCCTTTTGAGTCTCATGCTGTAGCATGAAGTGTAATCATCATCATCCACCAGCTCAAGGTCACTCCCCCAGATTCACTGAAAGCTTCAGCACCTGGCCCACACAAATGCTGCCAGACTCCCACTGTAATCTCAGACAGCCTTCATGCCCATGATTCACAGCTCCTCAAGCACCTGGATTCCATTGCCCTTTGCCTCCATTCCTCTTTAACTCAACTCATTCCTGTGGCAAAATCCTAATTTTATGTTTACTCACATGCTCTGAAAACCAGAACTCTAGTGACCCTTCACACCTCTGCAACTTTGACACTTTCCTGACTTCTTAGTAATTTCTGTTCTTGATCTTTCTTCAATTCTTTGAGTTGCCCTCCCATCTTCACTTTCATCCTTGCCCAGCATAGACCCCAAAGGCCCATAAGTTCTCCGACTGTGGCTTCTGGGTACCCACCGTGCCCTCCCTCCATCTTTGCTATACTCCCAACCAACTCGCTCTCTTCTCTGGTTATCTGAGTGGTTAAAGGCATGGGCTAGGGAAGCCTGTTTCTATCATTTGAAGACTTTTTCCACCATGTAATAATTCTACCTTGGACAAGTCATTAATTTTTCAGGGCTTCCATTTCCTCAATTGGGAAATAGTAGTATCTTACCTCCTGACCATCATAAATTATTGTGAATATTAATTGAGAATATATGTAACATGCTTAGAATAGTACCTATCTCATAAGTACTCAATAAATGTTTAATAAACTGCTTTATGATGTTTCTTAAAAAAAATCACGTAACCAGATTAATAAGTACCAATACATGCCCAAATCTGCAAAGCAAAATGTAATCCAACAAACATCCTCTTTTTTCACTCCTTCCCTAGATACTGCCTGCTTCAGGGAGACTTTTGAGACAATACCTTTGTAAGGGCCTGAGAACCTCTGATTACATCATATTAATTATTTGTCCTCCTCATCAGAAGTAGATAGGATTAGCAGGCTGACTAATGTTTATTATTTGTAAGGCAGGAATAGCAAGGATTTCATGTGACCACTTCCCAGAAGACAGACTAGAAGAACCAGGCAGAAGGCATAAATAGGCATCTCACAAGAGAGAAAACATGGATGACCAAGAAACATATTAAAAGATGCTCATCCTCATTAGTAGGGAAATGCAAATTAGAACTACAATGAAATAACCTTGCACACCCTTGAAAATGGCAAAAATGAAGAAATTTAACAATATCAGATGTTGGACTAGGTATTCTTATGGTGGGCATGTAAATGATACAATTGCTTTGTGAAACATTGTGGGGTTTTGTAAACCCAATATTCACATACCCCAGGGATCAGCAGCTCCATCCATTGAGAGTCTTTCACATTTTGTCGACCAAACATAACAAAAAGCACAAAGCTGCAAATAACCCTATCCACTGACAGGAGAATGGATAAATAGTGGATAAATAGTGGTATATTCACCAGAGGAATATTTAACACACACACACAGTAAAATATAGCTGCAGTAACAACATGAACGAATCTTAGAAACACCGTTGAAGGGTAAAGAAAAAACAAGTAAATGTATGTATTATAATAACACTTTAAATATGTTAATCTATTTAATTCTCATAATATCTCTTTGAGGAAGGTACTATTGCTCTCATTTGACAGATAAGGAAACTGAGGCACAGAGGAAACAGTTACAGATAAGAAACCAGCTAATAAGTGGAGGTTGCAGGATCTAGTTAACATTTACTACATGCTTACATAGTATCAGACACTGTATTACCTTGCCCATACCCACATTATCTACTTTATGAAAGATGCTCTTATAAAATGTCCTTCTTCGTTGTTTTTTTATTTGCCTGATAAATCTTCCTAAATAAACATAATAAGTTAGACTAGAGAATCCAGTTTATCATTTGACTTAGCACTCTTCTCTCAATCCCATAACCTAAGTGCAAACTCAATGGATAGTTTCCTCTTCATTTAAATGGTCTTCAGAACCATTTTCTAGGATTTGCTTTTGGAAACGAAATGTAACCCCCAGCCAGTGTCCTAAATCCCTGAGGCCCTGGAATTTCCCTACAGCCTACATTTTTTCAGAATGCCAATAACTAAGAGATCTACAAATGAAGGAATTCTTCTCCCAAGGGCAACCACACATGCCACCACCATCACGACCACCACGCCCCCAAAATCTCTTCCCGTCTTCTCTCACTTATACCCTAAGACCTAAAGGAAAGTACCTGAGGAGCTAGAGGAAGGATCATTCTTTCCTGCACCACAATCTTAAGACACATGCTTGGAAGTTTGTGATTGAATATTGTATGGGGTGGAGGAGGGGGAAGAGAGCCAGGAATCCAAAACCTGTGGTTCAGTCCCAACTCTGATGCTTAGTTGTGGAATGTTGGGCAAATCCATTAACTTCTCTGGGGCTCACTTCCTTCAGTAATGCACTTCAGTTAAACTTGACAAACATTTATTGAATGCCTCCAGGGTACCATGCACCCTGCCAAACATTGGGGTTATAAGGATAGATAAGACCTGATTGGCCATAAGAAGAGCTCCCAGCCATTAAGGAGCTTTCTGTCTAGAGTAGAGGACTGTGGATTTTGGTGCCTCAGGTGGTGAAGCAGAGTGTGGGTAACCAGGTAGTACAGATATTGCAGAGACTATACAATGTCAGTGTACTGCTATGGTTAAGAGCTCAGCTCTGGGGTCAGTCATAACTAAACATATCCTGGCTATAACCCTCAAGAGTTCTGTGACTTCAAGCAAGATTTCTTCTCCTGAAGAATCAGTTTCTTCATCTTTAAAACAGAGGTAATAATTATACTGTCTTCATTTTGAGGATCAAATAAGATAACACATATAAAAATGGAAGGTGAGTCATGATCAGTAAATGTTACCTGTCCTCCTCATTCTTCCCTTAGCACTGTTATTACTGTTATCACATCAGTTGTTCCTTAACAAGGCATTGTGACACGGTTTGGAGATCCAGGAAGTTGTTCATCAGCACTGCTCAGCTCTAGCTAACTCACTGGGGGAATAAGATGAACATTCAGTTCTTGTCCCAAAACCTTTCCTGAAGACATTGACATGCATTAACAGGATGATTACTGGCTAGTGCAAAGTGGAATTTATCTTCGAGGAGGTTATTTCTAAATATTCTGAAGTATGAGAGGGGTGTGTAATTTAGCATAGCATAAGCAAGAGGATAATTTTAGATAAGGTGAAGGATTGTGTTGATACATACTTTTGGAAGATGTTTACGTGAGGAGTGGATATCATGCTAAATAAATTTGATCTAATAAATTAGGGCCCAGAAGTTATAATGAAAGTGATTAATAAATATGACTACAAAGCAATTATAATTAAGAAACTCTTCATGTATATTAAAAATATAACCTGAATGAAATATATTTTTTAACATTTATTTATTTATTTTGAGAGACCGAGCAAGCACACGAGCAGGGGAAGGGCAAAGAGAGAGGGAGAGAGAGAATCCCAAGCAGGCTTTGTCTGCACTGGCAACACAGAGCCCAACTCAGGGCTCAATCCCACAAACCGTGAGACCATGACTTGAGCTGAAATCAAGAGTCAGACGCTTAACCAACTGAGCCACCCAGGCTCCCTCTGAACAAAATATTATGTGTATATATATATATATATATATATATATATATGTATATATATATGTGTGTGTATATATAGTGTGTGTGTGTGTGTGTGTGTATGGCTGATTTTGTGACTATGCAAAGAATGCTTACAAATCAGTAAGATGATGAAAACTTAATAGAAAAAAATGCAAAGGACTTGAACAACATTCAGGAAAAACACAAAAATAGCCAATAGATGTGGGAAGATGTTCAACATCATTGATGTGAAAAAAAAGATAACATTTTAGCAAAGATTAAAAAGAGGAACATAATCAGTGTTGGTGAGAGTGTGAGGTAACTGGCATACTCATATATAGTTGGCGTAGACAAGTTAGTGTAACTTTTATGAAGGAATAATTAATAGTATCTTTTTAAACAAAAAGTGTATAACTCTGACTCATTGCTAAAAATTATATAAAACATATCATTCATAAAGGCACTATATACACTATATAGAAGGATCTTACTCAGAATTATTTGTAATAGCCAAAAAAATTCTATCAATGACAAACTGTTTAAAAATGACAGACCCATGCAATGAAGAATGAAGTGCATATACTGATACAAAATGTTCACAGTATACTGTTAAATTTGAAAGACAACTGAAGAACAGTATGCTTCTGTTAATGTGAAGAAGATATAAATATGTGCACAGAAATGATCCAGAAGGAAACACAAGGAAGTTTGATGCTTTTTACCTCTGGGAATGTAAGGGAGAAATGTCTGCCTTTTACTGAATTGCCTTCTATACTGTTTGAAAACTTTATCATGAACATGTATTACTTTTGTAATAAAAAAAGGAAACGAAACCTTAGTAAAAATATCTAAAGAGCAAATAGGAGCCATTTCAATGTGTCTGAAAATAGTTTTCATAAGTTGCTCTCCTGGAAAATGAATTTTCCTTTGCAACTCACATCATTAGTTTTTTTTTTTCTCCATTTGAAGGAAGAATTCCTTTATTATTTAGTAATGATTACTTTATGCTGAGCACTATTTTGAGCGTTCTAATCATCACGGTGTTCTACAATCATGGGTGGTCATTATTATTATTCTCACTTAAAGAAAATGAGGCACATGAAAGTTAAATTACTTAACGAAGTTCACATAAATAGTAAGCTCTAGAGCTGAGATTCAAACCCAGAATGTTTGGCTCCAGAATCCATGCCTTAGGCACTATGCCTGCTCCTTTTGAAGTCCTTAGAAGCTTTGAGTTCTACCTGGATGATCTGATAATGGGACCTATGCCTTATACGGTGAACTCTCCCTGTGGCACCCCAGGTCAAACCTATCCACTGTTCTGACCCTTTGGAGGACCTAATAGAGAAAGATGCTGCAAGAGGACAAGAGGAGGCCTTGCTGTGTATGGAGTAATAATGGGGCCTTTTAACAACTCTAAAGGTTGACACAATACCTCAACACAGAATATCTTTGTAGAAATATCCTTACTGTTAACTGGAGTCTTCAAAGATGAAAGGGCTGATCTGAGTCAGCTGTTAGGTAAAATGCTGTTGATCCATCAGCTAGTGGAGATTGAGGTTAAGCCAATAAGGATTGCTGTAGGGAATAAAGGCTGAACTCATTGGCTTAATTCCATTGTTTTCAAAGTATGTCAAGGTAAGGAGGATTATTTTTTTTAGCTGCCAAGACATGAGAAAACATGCCATGTCATCCAAGTTTATTGAATGTGAATGTGTTTCTTGTTGGTGTTTCTTGTTTAGCGTTTTCCTCAAGGGTTACTAAGAAGCTAAATCAGGGTTCCTTTTTGTAACCCTAGAAGTGGAGTGGTTGATCAAATGATGGGCCCTTCCTTGTTGACGAATAAATAGGACAATAAGATCATCTAATGGTCTTTAATGCTTTTTGATCACCCTTCATTCTAACATGTTGATAGTGAAAATTTTCTCCACATGCAAGGTTCTCTGGGTGTGCATGTTGCTAGCGGGCATCCCAGCTGGCAAGCTTAGTAAAGAAGATTGGTCACCAAATAGAACTTGAGGCACTTTTTTTTTCCACCAGCCATTTTATTATTTTAAATTTTTTTCTGTAACAATGGATTTTTTAATTTTTAATTTTTAATTTTTGATTTTTAAAAATTTACCTCCAAATTAGCATATAGTGCAACAATGATTTCAGGAGTAGATTCCTTAGTGCCCTTTACCCATTTAGCCCACCCCCCCCCCACAACCCCTCCAGTAACCCTCGGTTTGTTCTCCATATTTATGAGTTTCTTCTGTTTTGTCCCTCTCCCTGTTTTTATATTTTTGTTTCCCTTCCCTTATGTTCATCTGTTTTGTCTCTTAAAGTCCTCATATGAGTGAAGTCATATGATTTTTGTCTTTCTCTAATTTCACTTAGCATAATACCCTCCCAATTCCATCCACGTAGTTGCAAATGGCAAGATTTCATTCTTTTTAATTGCCGAGTAATACTCCATTGTGTGTGTGTGTGTGTGTGTGTGCATACACACACAACACATCTTCTTTATCCATTCATCCATCGATGGACATGTGGGCTCTTTCCATACTTTGGCTATTGATAGTGCTGCTGTAAACATGGGGGTGCATGTATCCCTTTGAAACAGCACACCTGTATCCCATGGATAAATGCCTAGTAGTGCAATTGCTATGTCGTAGGGTAGTTCTATTTTTAGTTTTTTTGAGGAAAGTCCATAGTGTTTTCCAGAGTGGCTGTACCATCTTGCATTCCTAATTGAGGCACTCTTGGCAGTTCATTATTCTTTGATGATTCTGAAACTGGATGCACAATTCTGTGTAAGGAATAAATTGTTTTTCCTTCCTGTGGTTCATCATGCATTGTGGATGGGTGCCTGGTGAGGGATATGGCATCCTACAGGACTACCATTAGCAGTAGAATGTCCAGTGTAGGAACAAAACACATGCTGATGGCCATGGCAGAAAATCTTGATTTGAAACAAGGCCTGGGAGAGGTTTTCAGTAATCCTATAGAGATTCAAGTTTTCAGTGTGGAAGGATTCAGGGAACTCAGCTCCCTGGTTGCTCACCTAAACAGTAAGACACACACTGTTATTTTAGGTGGTGCCACACATGTAGATAATAGCATAAATGAAAGGACTCAGAACTAAAAGTTCTCTTCTGGTGAGGAAATAATAATCTGAGTTGATTGCTGATGAATTGCTGATGAAATACAATTAGGCTGTGTCAAATCTTCATCTAGAACTGTGCTGTTCAAAATGGCAGCTGCTGACCACATATGGCTAA